GAATTAATTACATTTCTTGTTCTCACAATGTTATTATGCACAAGGACACTATTTGAATAACTTGAAAGCATTTCACAGTCCTTGCATGAGTACAGGACTGGTAAAGTAAAAAAAAAAAACAAAACAACAAAAAACAAAATCTAAAAAACCCCCAAACAAACAAAAACCTGCGTGAGAGCCTGTGACAGCATCCTCTCTGATTTTAAGAAATGCTTCCTGCCTAGAGGCAGCTGTATATTGATGGGTGTAACAGTGCTCTGGCTCCCAAGACAAACTACAAATCTCTATCCATGTGTTAAAAAGTAATGATTTATTTGACTTTAGATAGGGAAAAAAATTCAGGCTAGCTGGAATGAATATATGTGAAGCAACATTCTGATGTACTAACCTCTATTTTTTAAGAATTAAAGAACTTTTATAAAAATAGAACTAGTGGACTATTTAGCACTGAATACACTTCTTAAACTGCATATAACTGCTTCTACGCAAAGCTGTTAATGAAAAGTATATTGCTGTTAATTAGCATTTATGTCCTGGTAGTGTTAGAAACAAGACCAAACATACACATAGTTAATTGATAGTTTATAAACGGAATATGGAGAAGAGATAAAGATAGTACCCAGACCTCATCCTTATGCAGCCATGACATTGGACTTTCTCACAAAGTTTTTCCCCATGACAGTGTAAGAAACAGGCAATGCAGGAGTGGAGTGCCGATGCTGAAATTTCAACTTCACTCAAGACCATGGCAAAACTCAAGGATTTCCGTCTAAAAGATGCTAACAGAGGAAAAAAAAAGCCTTCCTCCTCATTACAAGTGTGGAAAGAGGGGTACTCTGGCTGGTTTTTCTGAAGCTGAAAGCACCTATTTGTATAAGGATAGGAGATACCTGTACCTCAGTGATGAAAAAAATTTAGGGAAAAATAAAGCTGGTGAAAAAGTTTCAAAGAGCACCTTTTTCAGTAAAAAAAGCACGATATTTAAAAAAAAATTAAAATTTAAAAGTCATCATTTATTAGCATAAAACTTTTCTCTATATTATTAATTTCTAACCTAAAGGAAATAATAGAGTATAAAGCTCTCTAGTAAGTTATCTCCTGGCAAAGTGACAACATGTTTGTTAGCAACAAACTGATGATGACGACAACAACTGTGTATGGTAGTAGGTTCCTTTGAGCCCAGCAAAGATAATGAAGTGCCCCTTCAGTTCAGAGGAATGAAGAACTGTGCTGAAGTTGAGCCTAGCTATACTGCACGCAAAGAAGTTCATAAATGAAGAATGAAAGAAGGTGAATTAAGGAGACGTTTCAGTCTGTGGCTCCAGAGGTCGACCCAGATGATCCTGCCAAAAGGGGGCAGCTTGCTTCCTTCTACCCCTCTCTCCCTTATTCCTGTGGTCATGTGAAGTATTCCCTTCTTTACTTCAGCGACATCAGTTGAGGCACCCCTCTGCAATCACTAACACGGTAGAAAATTATCTGTATGTTTCTGCTGGCTTAGTTTCTTTCGCTTACTTTAGAACCTCTGTCTCAGGAAGTTCTGACAATCACTGGAGCTGTAATAAAAACAGCATCATGAGCTTTTTCCTGGGAGCTTTGGGAAAATGAGAGGAAGAAGCCAGTCCTCTTCTTTTCAGTAGCAGTGAACTGCTAGGTCAGCTCTCCACATCTCTCCATCATACCCTCTAAATCAGTAGTACTGACTTTCTAGTCTGCAGGCTTGCTCTCAGGCACAATGACCTTAAGTGATGTCCCAAAATAGGCAAAACTGGCATGGCTCAATTGGAAAGAGAAACCTATTAAAAAACCCCACAGGTGCTGAGTCAGTAACGAATCAAAAGATGCAAATGCAAAGCACTGATGCTGGCAGACTTTCAAATGAGACAAAACCCAGATACCTCCTGATCAGTTGTCATCACCACTTACTCCCTGAGTTCCCTCACAGTAGAAGTGCTGTTAACACCAGCATCCTGATGATTTTCCAGTTTCTGGAAATTTTCAGCCTGTGCTCTGAGAGTTCTATGGCAGTATAAGTGGGAGAATACTTTCTTTTACTTATCTTTTAAACGATGGACCTGTAGTGTTGCTGTGATCCTAAAAAAGGGCATCTACTTTTCTTCTGAACACCAGGGAATTAATGCACATTTCATTGTACCTCTCATGTGCGCACCAATAAACAGAAAAAGCACACACATATATCCAATGGTATAACAGAAAGTTTTACTCAACATGGGTTTTAATTGGCCTATGTACTTTGAAGTGGTGACTATACATTCTGCTACGATGACTGCTACAGATCACCACAAATGAATGTCAGTGAATTTTTTTACAGTACCATCTGGTCATGTGTTCTTCTGCATGTCAGATTCTGTATTGAAAATTATTTTATAAATGCATTACAGAGTTTTTAAAAGCTTTTAATTGGTACCAGTTTTCCTAGGGGGTACTTTCTCCCTATTACAGAGCTGAGCTCTTTACTATTATGAGACTATGTCTATGTCTCTGGGGAAAATTATAATTAGATGCTCCTGGTGGTTGGTTCTCTTGTAATAATCTGATGTTTGTAGTCCAATATTAACTCTCTGGCCCACAGACTTGGATATTTTGCAGGGTTATGCTTCTGCAATCTCATTAAGGTTTGTACCAATTTGATCAAGTTTCAAATCTTTGGAAAATCAGCACTTCATCATTCTGAACAATACGTTGTAGATTTCAAAGGTAAATGATCACTAAATTTTTGTCCTCACTGAACATGCTCTCAGCACTGATCAAAGTGGGCTGGTGCTTCAAAGAACAAGTAAGGATACCATAGTACAAGGCTACAACAATCAGACATTCTTTAATAGCAGTTAGGCCCATTGGCTTCAAAGTGAAGCCAATAGCAAGGTCCACCAGCTTGAAAGTGAAGGTAAAGACAACTGTTTCTCCAGCAGCCTAATCATGTCTCCCCTCTTATCGTTCACTGGTAGAGGAAGAAGCCATCTAATTTGGAGGCATGGCTAAAAGCAAACCAAGAGTCCAAGGAAGAACAAGATGCGTAGAACAAGAGTCTGCTGGGAGTAGAGCTTTAAGAGTAGAAGAGAAACTATAACAGACCTGGGAAAGGTGAATTCAGTGATAAGAAACAATAAGAGGGCTGTGAACTACATTATCAGGTGAGGAGGAACACCGAGAACAGAAATGGCTGGAAAAATAGAAGAACCTGGACTAGGACTTGCTGAAGAAGGTGGAGATTAGAAACAGAAGTTATTGGAGTGGTAGAGAACGAAGACACAAGAAGCTGACGAACAGGAGAACAAAGCCTTAGGACAACAGAATGAACAGTGAATGGAGACTGATGGGAAAGATGGGTCAGATAAAGATCTGGGACAGGGATCCTGGGACTAGTTGGCCAAGTAAATTTGGGGACATCAGGGACAATAACAGAACTTAGACTGGTAGGGAAGAGAAGATTAGGACTAAACCCATTACAAGACAGTCCCCTTCACCACTGCAATCTGCAGGTGCTACTGCACACAAGTTGCAAATAATCACCCTTGGCAAACAAAATATTTAAGATAGGTTAGGTCATGACAGGATCAACAAAGAGCTAAACTCCCTTAGGGAAGCACTGATTCATACTGGGGATGCTGTTAAGCAAAATCCTTCCTACATTCTAGTCATGCAAAAGCAAAAGGTGCAGAAGCTTGTCTGTCACAGTGCTCTCAGTTAATATTTGGAAAGGTTTGAGGAAAGAAATGCTACCTTGGTCTTGATTCCTTCTCACTCCACATTATGGAGATAGATCCCAGAATTGGTATTGGAATACCATGAGGAATCCATTTCAGAGCTCCTCTTAGTACAAGGATCATTTCACTCTGTCTATATCTTCTATTTGGTCAACAGCTGGGAAAACTCTGATACCTTTTAGACCAGCCAACCCACAGCTATAGGTAATCTGATCTGTGAGGTGTTACATGGGGGTGGTCTGCTTAGTAACACTGGCATAGCTCCCTCACCCACAGTAAGCAGTTCCTGGTATCTTTTTGCAGAAAAGAAAAGAAAAAAAAAAAAGAAAAAGAAAAAGAAAACCTCCGCAGAAGTCAACTTCACCTTGAAAATGTACTTACAGCTATTCCTTTATTTTAACTTGTACATTTTTGTTTAGGATTTTAGCATTTAAGCTACAGAGTCTTATGGCATGTAAGTATATACATGTTTATGACTTATGAATCATGACATTTAATTTTCTTCATCAACATTAGTAGGTGTTTGTTTATAATAATGGGCCAGAGCTTATCTCACTCTTGACAAATTTCATATTACAGAATGATTGCTGAGCTTGGGAAGGTGTGTTCATTTGCATTTAATTCTCTTTTGAAACAGTGAAATTCTGCCACCCTCTGGACAACAACTAAACTAAGGCATATTTACAATCGGCCTTGAAATTAAAAAAATCCCACTGCTGCTGATAAACATTCATTGCTTTTTAAGCACATTTCAAAATTAATTACTAGACTGAATGAAAAATAGCAGTTACTATTAAACTACAGACAAAACAATTACTTTAAGTACTGAATAACCTTCTTACTAATAGTATCTAATCAAACAGCAAACGTTAGTGTTGTGTTCTTAACCTTTTCTAGCAGTCAATTCATTATTCACAGTTGTATTTTTAAAGATCTGCTACCAAAATACAATATATTTTTTCATCATGACAAAATGTATTTCCACAAACTAGAACATTTTGGAATTATTAGCATCTCTGTGACTGCGCCAAAAGCAAATACATACAGAAGAGAGTTCAGTGGGAGAAAGAAGGCTAAGGGAAGGTTGCATAATGGCTGATCAAATCAGCTTTAAAGAGTATCAGCGGGAAAATGTGTCTCTTGCGTTCACATGGCATGCTGCACTTATTGCTAATAATATTGCTAGTAACTGTCTGTGCATTTGAAGTTTCAAACTGTGCTTCCAGGACTAGTGTGGGCAAGGAGGGCTGCAGCATATATGTTGTACAGTACCTTGTTTTGGCTACAGAGCCGAGCTGCTGTTGTTCTTGGATGAGTTCAGCCAGCTGTTTTTGCAGAGACATATCTTTACCATGTACTTGTTTAATAAATGGATGCTCCAAAAGGTGAGTGACTGAAGGACGCTTTTCAAAATCCTTGATAAGACACCTGTGACAGAGGAATAGTGGTCTCAGGTAACAATGTTCTTTCATTATAGCATGATTAGAGTTCGCTTACTGTGTGGCTGTTACTGTACAGTAGTTTCTTCTTCCACAAATTTGAGTTCCACAGTATCCAACAAGACGCTTGCTCTACATTGGAATAAATCTAGCATAAAATAATTAACTAAGTGAATTCACCCTACAACTACATTAGTATAAAGGCTATGAATTTGAGTTTATTTAATCTCGCTTTTTAACTATAAGTAGCTTACTAGGAAAAAATGGCATTGTATCTTGTAAGTGCTGTATAGTTAATATAAATCAAGCATAACCTAAGATGAATAGACAATACTTAATTCACTTTAATTTTCTACCTATTCTCCAATGAGAGTTTTGACTAAGGACTGCAGGATATAGCCTAATAAAACCCACAAGTGAAACTTGTGATACACTAGTCAGGACAATTTGATATAGAGCTCTGTTTTGTTTTCAAAATGAATGTTTCAGGTAGATCTTCTACATTGCAATGATAAGTCTAAGCATAAGAATCATAGAAAATTCTGCCAACCTGCATAATTTAGACTGGAAGAGAAATGAATGAATCAGAATTAAATGCTAGCCAGGGTACCAATGTTTTGTCTGCAATAGGAACAGGTGATCTAGTAAAGAGTACAGAGATACATCCTATTAAATTAGCATAAAATAAAGTATCATGCTAACTTATATAATCGAGATTTAAAATTCAGGAAGCCATGTTTAAAGTTGAATTCTTTTCTCTACAATAAAGCTGAAATAATACAGTCCAAACAGAAGAATGATCTAACGGGATTAGACTGCTTTAACGTACCCTCTAATTCTTTATATTAAAGTATTCTGTTTATCTTGCTCAAACAATAATATTGACATTATTTGAGAATGTGAAAAAGAAATGTTGGAATTCAGTACATACCTCCCTTTTAGCACATATCATTTCAGTGAATTATAGCCCAAGATGAGTTTATTTGATGAGATGCATTCATATTACATACTACGCAATTACATCTCAGATTTGCTGATATTAAGTGATACACCTAAAGTATTGCTTAACAGGGCCAAACATCACAAATAAAGATTATCTCTTTAGCCAAAAGTTCAATGAAACTTTAATACCTTTTAGAATAATTTATATTCTAGCAGTATCAATAACAATTTGCAAAACTTAAACTGCATTAAAAAAAAAAATCATACACATTAATTGATTTCAAATACTACCAAACAGATTAGCAAATGATTAAAGTTTAGCCTCACCTCAAATACTTTACTGAAGCCTAAAGTCTGGTCTTAAAATGATCCTGAAATATCTTTCAACGTAACTTTAATACTTTAGGTTCCTGAAAACCATTTTCCCAACCTCTTCTTGGTACATCTAGTCCAGAAAAGACAGTCTGTAAAATGTGCTACCAGTATTGTAACTATTTTGGTGAGTGTTGCTCTAGGCTAGAACCGTAGCCTCCTGAGAAAAAGACTAAAGTAACAGAACCTGCTTTATCTCCATCCCTCTTAGTGCAAGGCTATAAATACCAGTCCTTTCCTCCCATGAAGAGATCCATCATTAGACTTCAACAGGTTCTGACACCCCCTCCACACACACACACACTTTTCCTTTTGTGATCTGTGGCTTTTAAAAGTCAATACACCCACACAGACAATACGGTCCGTGCCAGTCCTGGTTAAATTTATATGTTTCCTGAGAAAAAGGAAAAAAGCATTTGAAAAGAAAGATAACACTAATCAGGAAGGCAGAGGAAAAAAAAAACCACAAAACAACAAAAAACTATGCAGCATACAAAATCACAGATTGATGGCAAGTATTTGGAGATTTCAGTATGAAAAGCTCATGCACTCATGTGATTTTTACCAGACTAACAATCATTACAAATTTATAGTATTCATGCTATATTGTTTATATATAAATTTTCTTGTTAAATTTGACTACATCAGGAATTTTTCAGTAATGTAAAAATACAAGTGCACCTATGTCACAGAATCATAGAATAGTTCAGGTTGGAATGGACCTTTAAAGGTCATCTAGTCCAATCTCCCCTGCAATGAACAGGGACATCTTCAACAAGACCAGGTTGCTCAGAGCCCCGTCCAAACTGACTTTGAATGTTTCCAGGAATGGGGCATCTACCACCTCTCTGAGCAACCTGTTCCAGTGTTTCACCACCCTCATTACAAAAATGTCTTCCTTATATCTAGTCTGAATCTACCCTCTTTTAGTTTAACACCATTACCCCTTGTCCTGTCACAACAGGCCCTAATGTGGAGGCAGTTACTTTTCAGATAATAACAGCATTGGATTTTAAATGGATTCTCTTCAAGAATTCACAGTTCCAGACACAATATCTTGTGCGTACTAAAAGTGTGAAGAACATACAAATCTTTTACCTGTTGGTATGCAGTTATTAACACAAATTCTACTCTGAGCTCTGGAACAATTTACCTCCAAAGACACTCTATGGACAAGATTCGGAAGTTGCAAGAGAGATTTTTCTATATAGATGGCCCCTAGGTGAAACACTGAAATGTCCAGGATGCTGCATTCATTAAGGAAGCCCAACAAGAAGAGACGTAAGGAAAGCATTTTACGGAAAGAAAGTTCTTAGCTTCTCTATTATGTGCCTGAAACGCTAGCTGATCGCATCTGGCAGGCGTTTTAATGAGCACAGGTAAGTTCTGTCAGGGAGGCAGTCCTGAAGACTACCTTAAGATTACCTTTGTTTCTGTTGCATACTCCTGCCAGTCCCCCACTGCCTACTCACTCTGCATGCATCCTACTCTTCTGCTTTGCAACTACCAAAGTTTATATATTGTTTCATCTGTATGCAGCCTTCGTTCTCTGGTAGTAGGATATTTTTGCAATCTGCGGTCACTTAGGATTTCACTAGAAACACAAGTAAAACTTCTTGAATTCTTAAGATGACCAAGCTAATGACACAAGACATACACATAATTCTGTGATCAAAGACGCTGTTCCAAGCTCAGACGGAGCACACCTACTATTGTGCCAAGTCTGTGCCTACCCCGGAAGAACCCAGCCCTTTCAGATGGTTAGTGAGATGCCACAACAAAGCAGAGAGCTGGTAACTAACAGCTGTGCAAGAGTGAGGGACAGCTGCTTAAATTCACATCTGTAACTTCTTGTCTCAGTACTTCTACTCCAGTTCAGGGAAGAGACTGACAGGAGAATGTACATTTCCACTGAAGTTGGTTTAATCCATCAAGTTAAATGGCAAGTTCCTAGCACATTAGGAACACAGCAGCAGAAAGACCAGGCAGGCCATAGGAAAATGAAGCCTGTATGGCACATACACTCTCCTTTTGCTCTGAAACAGAGCAGAAGTGTTGACACAGTCAATTCTCAAAATTACTCATTATGTTTCAAGAGCCAGTAACTGGCTTGCAGCTTAGTCCCAGCAGATACTGTGGGCTCAGTGCGTACCCAGATATTCAGTGCCAATTTGGTGTATCACCAGGCCTGCTGAGATGGGGTGCGGGACAGAGAGCTGGCATGTGACACTGAAAAGATAGTCCTTAAATTTCTCCTCTTCGTGTGTGTTCCTTTGTCCTAATTCCTCTCTACGTAGACCAGACCTATTAATATTCTGAGGTATATTTACATGCTCTGCTTCTACACACTCTCATTTCAACTGTGTTGCTCTTAGTGCCACACTGAATGCATGCTGCTGTTGTTCTTAGTCAATGTTACCTGTAAGATAAGTGGTGGCCCAAGAATTGTTATGTGCTAGTGAAAAATGATGCATCAGACTACCAGTGTCACTGCAGGTGTTCAGTAAGGAATCATCTCCTACACTGGAAGCAGTATTGACACTATACTGCTCTTCAGAAAATAAATATTTAATATAAAATATCAGGTGCATGAAGGTGAGCATTATCACAGTGTTTTCTACTGATCTGCACCCTGAAATAGAACTATAATGTGTGAAAAAGTTAATCATATGGGTTCCTGAGTCCAAAGTTGCCACTACATTCAGTCAGGAGATGCATTCCATGTAAAGGCCAGGAAAAAAGAAATCAATATTAACACGGGTTCCTGAGTCCAAAGTTGCCAGGAAAAAAGAAATCAATATTAACATTTGAAAGAGGAAGAGTACAGTAAGAAAACAGCTTTTATAATGTCACTTATCAGAAAATATTCAATGCAGCCAACAGAAATCAGTGTATGCATTGTGCAAGTAAAAAACAATATTAAGAAGTCATATCACCAAACGATTTGCTTCTGAGGAAAGGAGAAAACTAAAATATCTTCAGGTGCTCATCTGAGCATTTGTTTAAGACCAATTTGGACAGTTAGCTTAGGCTCTGTCAAACATCAACCATGCTACAATTACATATAAAACCAACAACTGTGCTGCACCTGCAAATTAAGACAATTTGTTTGGCCGTAGAAATTATAAGAAAAAAACCCCAGTGGTGAGACTGCCTTGCATTGAGCAAATTGAGTAGCAAATCTACTACAAGATGGGTTTTCATATCAGGTATGCTGAAAATATGATTGTATTAGGTGTGCTATTTTTTTGATCTAAAATAATGTGAGAAATAAGTAGAGATTGAAAAGGAAACAAACATTGTACATCTTTACGTTGATGAAAGTCAATCCATTACCTAATTTGAAATTCTAGTATCTTCCATCATGCTTTCTTAGCTGAAAATTAATTCTCAGAATTCATTAGCGTCACAACATTAAACATAGGTTGCAGCCATTTGCTGCAATCTCACAGCCAGGCTCCTAAGCACCATTTCCATTCTGCCACAATTACAGGCAAAGATGAAGCATTTATTAGCAGGGGATAAGAGCAGACTCCCATACACACAGGCCCATCTGAGACAGCCTCTGAAAATTCACTGGCTGCTTGCACTTGGATGATAACATTGTTGGAACCGCTACCTCTCAACAATGTAAACTGCCACTTTGCAAGTAGCAAATCAGATGACTGAAAAGGG